TTTACTTTGCGAAAGGTTTCCAGAAAACAAAAGCGCAGCGAGTACGACCGAAGGGAGGACGAGTTTACTCTTGGAAAAAGGAATTTATCCTTATGAGTATATCGATTCCTTTGATCGATTTCAAGAAACAAAACTCCCACCAGTAGACGCTTTCTATAGCTCTCTGAAGCAGGGAGGGATAACCCAGCAAGAATACATTCGTGCGGAGACAGTATGGGAAAAATTTAATTGCCAAAATCTAGGCGACTACCACGACCTATACGTGGAAACGGATGCGCTATTGCTCGCGGGTGTATTTGAAAACTTCCGGAAGGTATGCAAGAAGAACTACGGCCTTGACCCGGCCAACTATTATACGTCACCGGGCCTGTCGTGGGACGCCCTCTTAAAATACTCTGGCGTCCAACTGGAACTATTAACCGACATCGACAAGCACTTGTTCTTTGAAAGGGCAAAAAGAGGTGGTATTTCGAGCGTGGGTGCAAAGCGATATGCGAAAGCTAATAGTCCAGAATTACCCGATTACGACCCCAATAAGCCAGAGTCACAGATCATGTACCTAGACGCAAATAATTTATACGGCTGGGCGATGAGCAAATATTTGCCCGTAGGGGAATTTACCTGGGAAACAGACTTAGAAAAATTTACTTACTATTACATCCAAGAGTTGCGACTAACTGACGACTACGGTTACATGTTTGAGATCTCTTTAGATTACCCGGAACGTCACCATGACGAACACAATGACTTTCCACTCGCACCTGAAAACATGTCGGTACCAAACGAATGGCTTTCGAGCTATCAACAGGATTTAATTGGTAATGGCGAGCAAGTGACCTCGGTAGACAAACTAGTGGCTACTTTGGACACCAAACGAAAATACGTGGTTCACTATCGTACATTGCAAAAATATCTCAAACTAGGGTTGTGGATCAAAGAAGTTCATCGGGTACTGCGTTTCCGCCAAAAGCCGTGGATGAAGAGCTACATCGACAAAAACACGAAATTGCGCAAGAAAGCAAAAAATGATTTTGAGAAAGACTTTTTCAAATTGATGAACAATTCGGTCTTTGGCAAGACGATGGAAAATGTTAGATATCGAATTGACGGCCACCTCCTAAGGGACGAACAAGACGCCGACAAATACAAAAAATTAACTTATAAACCGAATTATAAATCGACGGTGCCATTTGGGGATTGTTCTCTTTCGTTTGTGGAGATGTACCGAACCAAAACAAAATTAAATAAGCCAATATATTGCGGTGTAAGTATTCTTAATATTTCAAAAACGTTAATGTACGATTTCTACAACAACGAACTAAAATCAACTTTTGGTGAAAAAGTAAATTTACTTTACACAGACACTGATTCTCTATTAGTTCAAATCGAGCGAAGCTCCGACGATTTAACTGGTTACCTAAACGAAAAGCGTAATTTATTTGACTTTAGTAATTACCCGCCAGATCATCCGCTTTACAGCGTCAAAAATAAAAAGTCATCGGTAAAATGAAAGACGAATTTGGTGGCAAAACAATTTTAGAAGCCGTTTGTATCAGGCCAAAAATGTATTCGATCTTAATAACCGATCACAATTTAAAGAAGGCGAAAGGGGTTTCCAAAGTAGTAACTGAGAAAAGCTTAACCCACGAGATGTATAAAAGCTGCCTATTTGACAAAACGCATTATTGCAATAAACAACAACTATTTAGATCGGATAAACATCAAGTGTTCACCATTTCACAAAATAAACTTAGTCTGTCGCCGTTGGATACAAAGCGCTACATACTATCAAATGGAATCGATACGTTAGCTTACGGGCATAAGCTAATTCGGTAATTCGGTGTCTTCGGGTACTAC